TTACAACCTGAATTTGGTTTTCTATATAATTAGAGATTTACTTATAATTACTTTGACAACAACCTCTCATCTAGCAAAAGTTTTAATAATTAGAATTAATTTTGGTAATACATGGACATTATTATATCAACTGGCTCTTATGAGTTGCAAATTTTGTCTGACTTTTAACATCAATTCCATTTTATCAGTAGTCTTATCTTCCGAATTTGGAAGGAACATTTGAAAAAAGTTTCCTCCATGTTTATCGAACAACTAATGACAGTGTTGCCACAAATTCATGCTTTTAATTAAATAATGAATGCTGATTTCCAGGTTTGGATAAAACACAATAAGTGGAAGATAATTTTATATTTTTCTAAACGAATTTTGCGTCATTTCGATTGTAATAAAATTGAAAATGAGAGTAGCGAAGCTTCGACGGAATTCATGCTTATATTAGTACAATCATATCACTAAAATTAATTACAGAAATGGAGAACAAAGAATGTGATGCCAATTTTGTTGAGAATCTCTTAGTAGACGTTGCGTTTTTTCCAATTTGTATTTTTGATAATCACTGTAAAATGTCATTAGATTCGTTAACATTATTGAGAAATTTGATTTTTTAAATTGAAAATATAATAAATTTGAAAAAAATTAAAGAATAAAATTCAAGAGAAGAGCGTGATAATTTTTGAGCCTAAACGTGCACACTATTCAACTGATGCCTCAAAGAGATTTACAGCTTTTCGTGTCTTTTTCTAATAGCTTTTAGATTCTGACATTTACTATTTTTCCTGCTAACTTTTGCTTCTTCGATTGCAAAAAAACTTCACGTTACTTAAAGTGCTAAAAGCAAGCAGAAATAATCAGATGCGAATTATGAGAAAATTTTGAGCTGATTTTAATTAAAATTAGTCACAGTAAGTGAAATAATTTTGAGAATTAGCAAATTACAGAGCACTCAGTGTAGCAATGTAGAACGACGCCTAGCTTTGCACTCGAAGGAACACGGAAATCTGTGCCAAGCATACGAGACTATCATCCAGCACTGTGGTGAAGACTGCAAACGACAGGGCTTGACTAAAACTCCTGAGAGAGCTGCGCAAGCTATGCTTTTTTTCACGAAAGGCTACGAAGATAATTTGCACGGTTTGCAATTTTTTTTGAATTCAAATAACCCACAACATATTCTCTAGTTCTATAAGTTCTAACTAGAAAGCTGCTTATTAGTGAAGCAATACTTCAATTTGAATTAGCACTGTGCAGCGAGCAAAGTCTTGCGCTTTTATTAATTTTCTACTTAATAACTTTGCAGTTACTAAAAAACTGATATTCTTGTCTTTCAGCAGTCTATTTGTAGATTTAATTAACGGAGCAGTATTCGACGAAAATCATGATGATATGGTGATTGTGAGAGATATTCAAATTTTCTCCTTATGTGAACATCATCTTGTGCCATTTGTTGGAAAAGTGCATATTGGTTACTTACCGAAAAAGAAAGTTTTGGGTCTTAGTAAAATTGTTCGGATAGTTGAGATGTTCAGTCGACGTTTACAGGGTCATAATTTGATCAAAATTTTGTTTAATTTGAAGGAGTTGATTCATTTCTACATAATTACCACTGATAAGTGAGTAGTAATTTGCATTAAATGTCTG